CGAATAGTATTCAATCGGAATTAGAGAGACTCCTGAAGATTATGTCGAACTCCGAGGAAGAGAAGTTTGCCTTAAATAAGCAAATCCAAGAAATGCAAAAGTATGCAACCCATTGGTGTCATGACTGAGTGAATGGTTGTAATGATGTGTCTCTTTGAATAGTGCTCTCAGAGCCGCACAAAGTAGTGGTTCCCGAAGAAACACGCAAAGTGCCCAACAGCTCGAGGAGGGCAGACCTCAGGCCAGACCTCCGTCTGCCACCGGAGCACCGCCCGGTCCACCCGATCCGTCTAAGGCACCACAACAGCAACAGAGACCACAACAGCAACAGCAACAACAACAACAGGTATGTCATGATCACCTAATTGGTTATAACACGTAACATAAATCATATTTTTAAAATTAATATTAATTTATTAATTTTTAGTTTAAGTTATTCACAATTTAGAGAAAATAAAAGTCTATTTAATACTTGGTTTTAAAAACTCTTAAAGTTAACTTTAGTAAACCATTAAAGTTAACTGGCTAATGGTTAAATAATTTGAGACACTTTGAAGACAATAAAGATTTTATTGATTTTTAGTGTTCCTGTTATTCTTTAGCTGAGAAAATGGTTTAACTTTTTGTGAGCGCTTTCTCGTATCTCTTGATAATTGAAATAATTTTTCATTTTCTTAATAGCGTTTTCACTTCACAAACACAATAGAGTTATCATTACATTAAACACGCTTTCAGTCCTCAGTCTTACATAGAAATGCATTAAATATTTATTTCTTAAGACAAATACCGCCACAAAAATAAGATTAATATAACATCATAAAAATATTTATGATAATAGAGATAAGTTACTGTAGATTCTGTTAGCTTTTTAAGGCAATAGGAATTATTCATTTACTTTTTATATGCATTTTTATATTCTATATAATTTATACAGAATTTTTCGTATATAATATTAAGCTTTTAAATTTTGTTAGCCTAGATTACTATATGCCGTTATTTTATGGTAAATATACTGTAATAATAAATTAACTAGATATAATGTATTCTTGTTTATAATGAACAGTTGAGTGCACACATAAATTGGCCATATTTTATGTTATAGACTAGATTTCTGGCCATACATTGAGTAACTTGTGATATGATTTGAATAAATATTTTAAGTAAAATCAATATTTTCCTTAAAGAGCTTCCTATTTGTTTGGGAATTTAAACCCAAACTATAAACAATAATTTAATTTAAAATAAAAACAAAACAGCATAGTTCGTTATAAGTTACTGCCATTATTATATAATACTATATATTATTTGGCTTGAATTTATAAATCTTATAATGCTGTGGGTTATATCTATAAAAAGGGACAAATAAACATTAAACTAATACATAAATTCTTATAAAAAATCCCTATAATCTAATTTTAATTTATAACATAATTATTAATGAGTAATAGATGGTATTATATTTGATTTATGGTAGAAATACTAAAGATTTTTAGAAAAATTTATTCTTAAGTTTCTTTTATCAATGAAAATACAATTTTCGACCAAACAATTACAAATATTGCTTAGACTAAAGGTTGTAATCATAGCTTATCATGCTTATTTTGTAGATCCGACTCATTTAGTTTTTATGTCATTAATTCTGGTTTAGACAAGAAATTAATTATTTATAAGTAAATAAAAGGGCTATTAAATAGTATAGTGATTAGACTAGTAGAGGATTGCATAACATAAAAATAAATAAAACATTATATAACTCTTTTTTATATTGAATATTATGAATATAATATATGCCCGGAATAAACAATTCCGTGATTTGTGTAAATTAATTCCCATAAATGTTATAATGGTTGTAATAGTCTCAACAGTGTATAGGATTTATAACAATTATATATAATAGTATTCATTTGCACTGCAGTACAGAATATTCTGCTACAAACCCAAATTGTGTAGCAAACCAATAACAAAACAAAAAACAATTCACACATTTCTCTAATCATTTGTTTTTTCTCTTTTCCCTTTGCCTCTCATATATATCTCACACACACTGTCTGTCCACTGCTTTTATCTCTACCTTATCTGTGTTTCGCATCTAAACAACTATACTATCGATAATAAAATAAAAACCATTGATTGCAATGTCTCGACACTACTACTACTATTACACTAACTCTGGTTCTCTACTAATATTAAACTACTTCCCACTTATTAACACAACTGTCCACTCGTGTGTGTATCTGTGCTCTGCTATATGAACAACAACTGCCACTACAATGACAATAGCCTTCCGGTCCCTCGAGTTTCTTCTCTAGCTTCTTCTAACTGCCATTTTTATCATTAGTTAAATAATATATATATGAAAAAAGACAATAACTATTACATCAAACAAACAAAAAACTTCTCTCTTTTTCTAATAATAATCAAATGTTTTAAATTACGTGCGAATGATGTCGTGTTGTTATACAGATAAATACATTATAAGTTATACAATTGGTTTATTAATGAATACAACAAATAATATACAGAAATACAAACAGAATCCAGAATTGTTTCAATCAAATTCCTTTATTATATGTAAATCACAGGACATATACTGAAACTGTACCAGAGGTTAAGACTCAGTTAATGTTAAGTTTGGTTTTTGATATCACAGAATTATATATATGAATATAATGAATAAGAAAAATTAATTAATAGCTTTTGAATGAGTACAGTATTGGCAAATGTAATCGTTTTTGAGAAAACACACATGAATTTCATGTATTAATTATATGGCAATAGATTTTTTCGAGGAACAGATAACTATAATAACTGTTTTTTGTTGGCATAAAAACCAAATGAAAGTTTTGTTTGTTTTTTGTATAACTATTATGTGATCGCATATTGAGTTTTTAAGACTTGAATTATTATTAATGTTTGTGTTGACCACACAATCCGATGACCAGAAGATATGATATCAATGATATTGAAAGACAACAAATTTGCAAGAATTGGGATAAAAGTAATAATTAATATCACAAACACTTATCTTGTCTTCAATTTGCGAAAAAGCATTTCAAATCGATATTTAATGCGAAAATTGTTTCTATTAATAAACTCATTGATTGATTGATTGGTTAACAAATAATTGATTGAAATATTGATAAATAAATTGCAAACGAATAGAAAAAACACCGTGTTTATTATTATTGACTAACATTACCATTATTATCTCATTTGGTTTCCTATTTATGCCTGACTTTATAATTATTGTAATTTTAATGTTTTTTATTTAATTTTCATCAATGATTACTAATTAATCGTGTTTTTTATTTTTACTTTTTCTTATGTTTGGTTATAATTTTTGGCACACATTTGATCCGCAATCGCATTCATTGTCGTTATTGTTATTCTATATATAAATGTTTTCTTAACTTTCTGTACAATTATATCCATTGCCACCGACCTCTCAAACCACACAATCGCCGACAAACACCAACAAATCACTTGACAATTGAATCGTTCATAATATTGTTGTATATTATTTTGAATGCAACACAACATACAAATGAAATATCGATTTTATGAACGCAATCACAAAATGCCCTTTTGTTTGGCTTAACAATTGGCGACAAAACCCCACAAATACTTATATATTATTTAATGTATAATTTGTTTGTATATACCTTTCGCACACAAATATCACACACGAAAAACAATTGCCATTATATGGTGTATACAACTGAATGGATACACAGAATAAGATAATTGAGTTTCAAAGCGATCGCATCGAAGAACTGGAGGAAGCGCTGAGAGAAAGCGTTAGAATAACCGCTCATAAGGAGTACGAAATGGAGGGAAAGGATCTCTGCCTTCAGAGGGCTGAACAACAAGTTAGTGATTGATATGAAATTGCATCAAGCAAAGTTGGCTTGTATTGTAAATATGATTTATTTAAAGGTCGAGAAACTGATGAGTGACATGCGAGCCATGAATAAGGTGGCCAACGCCACGTGCACTAACTGTCCGCAACTGAAAGTATATTTGGATCAAATTGAGGGCAGACTTAAGAAACTTCTGGTTGAGCGTAATCAACACCTCAACGAGATGTTTGACATGAAGTATGATTTGATATTAAAATATTTGCGAAAAATTGATTAATTTTGTCGGTGACCACAGACTGGAGGGTCTGTCGGCGGCAATCAGTGAAAAAGACGCCCATTTGGCGCAACTGGAGATGTGTGGCATCAGAAACGCTGATAACGCCAGAGAAGCCGATAGACTGAGGGCTCAGAAGACAATTCTGGTCGACAGGTTAAAGTTGGAGGTAATGTATGACAAGAATTAGAAATTCATAATAAATATGTATATATATATATATTTCCCAATTTTTATGCTTTTATTTTACTTTTCAAGAATCAATACAATGAAACGATTTTGATTTTAGAAAACTAATAAATTTTGTCATTTTTTATATCCTGTAGAATGAAAATCGTGTAAAACTTTTATACGACACCAAAGAGATCTTAATGGAGATCCAGAGGACGACTCCTACTAATAATACGAGTCATAATAATAGTCACAATAAAAGTAATCATAGGACGAGAGAACAGCACAAGATCTCACTATAAATTCCAGTCTATTGTCTATTGTCTCATAAATATTTGGATTATCGGAATATCTTACTATTGCTTATACAATACAACATCAATAATATTGGCGACAATAATATTATTGTAAAAATTCTAATGAGAAGTATATCCATGGATTCGTACATTTGTTTTGACTAAATAATTATTTTTATAATTACATAATTATGTGATTATTTAGAATTTATACCAATAATTGGTCCAGGCAAATCTAAAAACGAGTCACAAAAGTATGGAATTCCTATCGCGAAGGGTATTAAATTATATCATAGTTTGAGATTCTGTTGAATTTTAATTGTAAATATTTTTATTCTTGAAATGAATAAGAATTTTATGAATAATTCAGACATTCTTGAGCTCTGTTTCAGATATTCTGTGACTTAAGTTCTGCTGAAACTGTATTTGTTTTGTAATGAAATAACAATTCAGATAATAATTGTTTAGCTCTTGTGATACGCTTTTAATATTTGAAAAATTAATTTTTTCTTTTCAATCACAAATTGTTATTCAGTTAAGTTTAGCGTTAAGTTAGATATTAGTTATTATTATTATTTTATATTGAATTTTATTGTAGTTTTATATAAGAAATCAAACTCAATGAAATATATTTAAATGTTGTAAATTATTTGTAAGTTATAAAAATCCCATAAACACACAAAACATGACTAACACAAAAAGTGGTTAATTGCTAGTTACTATTTAATAGTAAATGCCTAATAAGTCAAGAATACCACGTATATGGTATGAATGAAAATATACTTAATTGTTTGAATTGAAAATATCAACTAATGCCTCATTTTCTAAATAATTTCTGCCAAATATTCAGTCCATTGAATCAAAACAAACAATAATAAAAATACAGCAAATACTACACCAAAAATCTCATCATTTTCTATATTCTATGTATTTATGATATATTTAAACCAATATTTAAAAGTTAGGCATAGCATCAATTAAAATGTAACAAATATAATACTCTTTCGATGTATTGATTATAAAAATCGTGTAAATTGTCGTATCATTTCTCATTAAACATTTTATTTATACAGTTTATCGTGTGAATATACAGTAACTACCATAATATGAAAGATTTTAATATGAATCGATTCTACATTTGTAACTTATTAGTTAACAAATAAACATAAACTCATTGTCGACTTCATTAACACTAAGAATATTGAATGATTGGAAATGATGAGTGAAAAATCACAATACTATACAGTATAATGTCGTTTTAGATAAGTTAGTGTAGATTTAATTGTGGCATATCTTCAACATGAATACCAAAATCTGCTTTAATGTACAGAGTATTATACAAATTAAATTTAGAAAATAATGTGTAAAACACTTTTGATGTCTAAATGAGAGGAAATGAAACTTTTTAGGCAAATCTCTTGCAATATTGAAGAATTATGTATTATATAAGTTATAATATTATATACTGTACTAAAAATTCATAATAATATTGTGATATAAAATAAGTTAATTAATTAGTAGTATTATTAGCTTTTAATTATCAATTGAAATGATTATAATTTTTCTATTTATACGAGAATAATATAATTGTTTTCTAAATGAATAAGTTTTGTTAAATTGAATACAATCATGCGGTAAATAAAGTTATATACAGTGTATTAGAATCAAATATAATTTAAATGAAAATTTATGATTGTCTCATATAAAAAAGTGTTTTCATATTATAATTGTATAAAATGTTTATTTTACAGACAAAAGAAAACGTAAAATTTTTATTTAAATTTCAAAAGAAAATGAATTCATATTAATTAAATGCCTTATTGTTTGCGTCTCACTGCCATCACATGCTATCAAAAAATATTGTATTCATATTATATCAAACACATTATAATAACAGACAAAACACCAGAATTGTAATCAACGAATAATAAACAATTCCTAACAGACTTTGAAATTTAATTTTGAATTTAATGTTAATTTTGTGTTACTTTTAATCCGAGATTATGTATAACTGTTTGACCGAAAGCCTCTTCCATTATATCGTCAATAAAAAGCAAATAAAATGAAAATGAAATGAAAATAAAATGTTGTGAATTAAGCACTTAATTAAATCCTTAATTGTCTGAGACTTCGGGCTTCTGGAAGTGATACAATACATCCAATGGACAAACACCTCAAGAATTGTAGGTATCTGTTGCCCAACAGATGTGTTAACTCTATGCTGTATTGTGTTATTGATTAACTGATACTAAAATATTTGTTCAATAAATTTTTTTAATTAACAAGTTTATGAATCAATCATTACATCAAAGGTATGATTAGAAATGAATTTTTAAACAAAATCTTTGGTCACAAAACATAAACTAATTATTCAATAAAGTAATCATTTCTCAAATAATAATCAAATTTATAGTTTTCTAAAAGTTATATTCAACATAAATATAGATAAATAATTAAGTTTTAAATCCGATAAATAACCCAAACTTAAGGCTTAAACAAAAAATTGATTGCATTTTCAACCATTGATTATATTATCGGATAATTGCAGTGAAAACATGAAATGAAAGTCATGTATGAATTAAATTCAATGCAAATGAGACATAAATAGCGATCGAGTTTCATGTGGTGATCATCACTGATATTCGGTGTACTTCTTGGAGCTGCCGAACACCTTATCGATCGGATATTTGGCTTCATTTTTGGCCAACTTCTGGACGGCAGCCGCCGGCAGATCCACTCGACACCTGTCGGCCAATCGGAGCAAATATATGAGACAATCGCTGAGCTCTTCCTCGAGGGCTGTGCGCTCTTTGGCGGACCAGTCGGTGAGTCCGACGGGACACTCGCCCCTCCACTGGAACAGCTCAGCCAACTCTCCCACTTCGCCCACGAGCGCCAACAACACATTCCTCGGACTGTGAAACTGATCCCAATCCCTGTCCCTCACAAACCGGGTGTGCATTGCATGCAACTCCTCCAGAGTGGGCCGATCGCTGAACTTGAAGTTGTGGTCAATGTCTTCGCGCGAATCACCATTGAGTGGCCGTTTCGGTGGTGGCGGTTGACACTCATCCACCTCCTGAACCACATTCACCGCGTGGTTATCACTGGTGCTGACCACCTCTTGCATGACTAGTTCATTGGTGGCACCATTCAGTGTTTCGCTGTGCCTCTTAGTGTCTGGTTTAGCCATTACTTCTTGGGATCAGATGATTGTTGTGATGGTAAGTGTGGACACGTTTTTCACATTTGGTTTTCAAACTTCAAATAACACGTGATTTTCAATGCATTACTCAATTCATGACGTTTTGTATGCCATGAATGCATCGATTTATAGACAAACCTTAGGGTTGTATACATTGTGTGCCACTAATAACGTGCGTTAATATTGAGACCCATTTGTGTGGTTTGCAAACGAAATGAATTTATTGTATAAAAAGTTATTTAATTTAATAAATTAAATGCAAAAAATAAAAATAAATTACAGAATAATTACAGAATAAATACCAAAAACAATGACTAAAAGCAGAGATTCTCAGCGATGGCTAAATTCCATAAGAAATTCTCTAAATTCTTGTTCAGTTTCTTCTCTTTGAGGACTTCCAGTGATATCATAGGCTTGTCATCGGGAGTGTC